AAAAAAAAAAAAAAGAATTAGAAAGCCGTAGGATGTACATGCCCATGTGAACTGGCCAAAGGCCCCCAGTATAAGACAAATGGGGCAAGGGCTCCCAGTATAGAACAAACGGGGCAAAGACCCCAGTATAGGATAAAGGTATAGGAATAGGAAATCTCTGGGTGGAAACATCCAAGATTGGGTAAATAAGATTAGGTAAATGGGGCAAAGGCCCCCAGTATAGGACAAAGGTATAAGACACTAGCAGAAAGCTCCTTTCACAGGAACGAAGGACCAAATTAAGTAAATAGGCAAATATGGCTATAGACTGCAGGTAGGCAAAGTAGCCCAGAGAGGAGCTAATTAGCAAAAGAAAGATGCCTTGTTTACATGCTCTGTCTTTCTTGTCCCCTAAGACAGTTTAGGTAAACAGAGTTGGGGTCTCATGTCTGTTGTAAACAACCATCTATCAGGAGCCAGGATTTTGTTTTGTATGACCCAAACCCCTAACACCACATATCTTCAAAATCCCCTTTTCCCCACGCCCATGAGTTAATGTTCACGGTTTGCGTCTCTTTGTGCACGTGCATCACACTTGTAAGCCTTCTGATTTTAATTAAAAACAGAGCAACGACCCCTATCCGGGGCTCTTGTCTCCTCCGAGACATTAGCCTCTCTCATATTTTCAATCCTGCATCCTGCTCTCCTGCTGGACAAGAGAGAATTTCAGACCCAGAGTCTATGACACTCATCAAGATAAAAAGCTTCTGCACAGCAAAGGAAACAATCAGAAAAACTAAAAAGCAACCAATGTAATGGGAGAAGATATTTGCAAACGACATATCAGATAAAGGGTTAGAGTCCAAAATCTATAAAGAACGTATTAAACTCAACACCCAAAAAACAAATAATCCAGTGAAGAAATGGGCAAAAGACAGGAATAGATACTTCTCCAAAGAAGACATCCAGATGGCCAACTGACACACAAAAGAGTGCTCAACTTCACTCATCATCAGGGAAATTCAAATCAAAACCAGAATGAGATATCACCTCACACCCAGAATGGCTAAATTAACAACTCAGGCAATGACAGATGTTGGTGATGATGTGGAGAAAGAGGAAATCTTTGTCGCTGATGATGGGAATGCAAAGTTGTGCAGCCACTCTGGAAAACGGTATGGTGGTTCCTCAAAAAATTAAAAATAGAACTACCCTATGATCCAGTAATTGTACTATTAAGTATTTGTTCAAAGGACACGGGTGTGCTATTTCAGACAGGGATATGCACCCCAATGTTTATAGCAGAGCTATTGACAATAGCCAAAGTATGGAAAGAGCCTAAATGTCCATTGACAGATGAATGGATAAAGAAGATGTAAATATATATATATATTATGAAGTATTACTCAGCAATCAAAAAGAATGAAATCTTGCCATTTGCAACAACCTGGATGGAACTAAAGTGTATTATTAAAATTAGTCAGAGAAAGACAAATATCATATGACTTCATTCATATATGGAATTTAAGATACAAAACATGAACATAAGTTAAGGGAAGCAAAATAATATAAAAACAAGGAGGGGTACAAAACATAAGAGACTCTTAAATATAGAGAATAAACAGGGTTGCTGGGTGGGGGGGTTGGGCTATATGGGCAAGAAGCATTAATTAGGGCACTTGTTGAGATGAGCACTGGTTGTTATATGTAGGCGGTGAATCATTGTATTCTACTCCTGAAATCATTATTGCACTATTTGCTAACTAACTTGGATGTGAATTTAAAAAATAATAATAACTAAAAAGAGATGCTATATAGTCCAAAATAATCCATATAAAATGTTAAAAATAATGGGTAAATTTATGAAGAACATTAAATACAAGATTACACATAAAGCTCATTTTTTTACAAAGCTTATGTAATTTTTATTCCCAATTTTTTCACCACCAATTCTGTACATGACATTGTGCTAAGTTTTGGAAAAGATATAAGATAGGTCTGTCTTACAAAAGGAATTAATTCTGAAAGTCTACACCATTTCAGATCTACTATGCTATGTTGTACCTATAAAAAATATGCCTTCAAGAGTCCTAAGCTATGATTTGGGACAAAATAATTCCTAAGACAATTCCCAATGGCTAAGCTAGGTTCCTTGGGACCCAGATATATCCGATTCCTAATTATCTTTTTTTTCTTATTATAAAAACACACATGGGAAATAAATTCTCCTCTGAGACTGTAGTAGAAATAAATGGGGGCAATTAAGTTTTTCCAGCTCCAAAATTTAGAATATATCACACACACACATACATGCATGCACGAGCATACGCACATGCGCCCAAACACAGACACAGAATAGAAAAGTTCCCACCTCCACCTGCCACTTTATGGTGTCAATATAGGTATTAGATTTGTCTTGCAGGACCAAAATCATCACATAGAAATGAATATGACTTGATCTGTGGATATGTCTTCAGTGTCTCGAAGAACTCCAGTAGCTTTCAGGGTGAGCAGATTTCTGAATTTGGGGTGCATTCTTATTAAAGGGGTGGGTGCTAATTATGATAGCTGACCCAGGAGGAGGCATAAGAGAGTTGCCATATAGGGTTATTCTCCTGACCTTTGAAAAGCCACAGTGTACCCCACTATAAGACAGATTTTACATACTGGCTTATTTGCTCCATTTTCACTTTGGATAAAAACACTAATGTTTCAGGACTGAAATACAATCCATATGGGGAGTATTCTAAAGAGAAGTAATCAGTCCCACTGGCTGTTCAAGATAGAATTAGCATTTCCAAAAGAAAATGATTTACACTGCCATGGGAGAAAACAAAAGAGTGATGACAGCCTTATTCCGTAGTTTTCTGTTTCTCGTCTACTGTTCCTTTTAGAAAATTGCTTACATTTCATCTCATAATTATAATCGTTGAATTATTTCACAGTTCAAAGAGCTCCTAGATTTCATATACTCAGCCTTAATCTTTTAAAAAATAAAGATAAAATATTTTATAAAAGACATATGAGGAGAGAAGAGTCAAGTTTATACAATCTTAGATTTCCAACAGACACATCTCTGAGGTGGCAGGGAGGTCACCTCTCATTTGTCCAGGAAGTACTATAAATTTTAACATTGATATTTTTTATCCAAAGAGATGGTTTTCCCTTCAACAGTCCCTCTATAGGACCATCTCCTGTATTTTACTACTTGTAGTTTTTCCCCTAAATTAGCACATTCCAGCCCAACATAGCCCTCTTTTCCAGACTTCCACATCTTATTTGCATCCATCATATGCTCATAACTTTGTTCTTATCTCCTCACAATCTACTATCACACCAAATATTCTCCTTTTTACTCTTCATAAATGTTTTGTCATTCCTTATTCTCCCACGGCTTCCTTTTCTATGGGCTTTAAAAAATGTGTGGAACATCTCCTGTATACTAGAATAAATTAGTTTTGGAGACGATGTAGGCTGAGAAATATTTGATTCTATGGCTCCCTGAAATTGTGGTTTAGAAAGAAAATAAAGTGCTGTTCTAAAGGAAATGTCAATTGTTTTAGTTTCAGATGATGAGTATCTCCATTCACCCTAGGGTCCACTGGAAGAGACTGTAGCCTTAGCACATTAATGTCTCATAAGTTACTGCATTCCCAGTGATACTTCACCCACTATTTATGACGTTAGTGATCCAAAAGCAGAAATAGGTGGCCATTTGATGATATTAGGAAGGGGATTACTATGTTTTTTACCTTTAATATTATGATTCTAGTTTTCCGAATTTAAGTTTCCTCCAAACCAAAAGGGGGCGGGTGTTGGACTAAAATTAGCCCACTAAAATCATTGTCAGGGTGTTCACCAGTTAAGACTGATTACCTTAAAGGTGAGTCCACAAGAACCTTTGAAAATTATTAACATTTCAAAATGGAATAGGTATATCTGACTAAGATAATGAGCCCTTAGAACATGTCAAATATTTCTTCAATCCTTGATCATCCAGTTAGTCACTTAGTGGCCAACTCAGCCTGGAGAATGGACTGTAAATTATGATAACCAAAAACCCTGGACACATCCAGATTCAGCACATCCACTAAATTCAGTCAGTTCATCTTCCCAATATCTAATGTGTAAGTAATGGACCCAAACAGTGTATATGTCACAAAGTCAACATAAAAGATCATATTTAGTGACTGACCTACAAGAAAGACAAATTAGCATTTATGAAGAAGAAAATCCTGCTGGTGAGTTACTCTCTGGACCTTTCTTTTTTCCTGCTTACAGAGCAATTCTGTAACTTCTGTACCATGAACTTCCAACAGGTGTTATGTCATTCTTAAATGACACCAGCCTAACTCCAGTTTCATTCATCCTAAATGGCATCCCCGGGCTGGAAGAAGTACATTTGTGGATCTCCTTCCCCCTGTGTACCATGTACAGCATTGCCATCACAGGAAACTTTGGTCTTATATACCTCATTTACTCTGAAGAAGCCCTACACAGACCTATGTACATTTTCCTAGCCCTTCTATCCTTCACAGATGTGCTCATGTGCACCAGCACTCTTCCTAACACCCTCTGCATATTGTGGTTCAACCTCAAGGAGATTGATTTCAAGGCCTGTCTGGCCCAGATGTTCTTTGTGCACACTTTCACAGGAATGGAGTCTGGGGTGCTCATGCTCATGGCCCTGGACCGCTATGTGGCCATCTGCTATCCCCTGCGCTATGCTACTATCCTCACAAATTCAGTCATTTCCAAGGCTGGACTCCTCACTTTTCTTAGAGGTGTAATACTTGTTATCCCTTTCACTTTCCTCACCAAGCACCTGCCATACTGCAGGGGCAATGTCATACCTCACACCTACTGTGACCACATGTCTGTGGCCAAGATATCCTGTGGCAATGTTAGGATCAATGCCATATATGGTTTAATGGTTGCCCTCCTGATTGGGGGCTTTGACATCCTGTGCATCACAATCTCCTACACTATGATCCTCCGGGCAGTTGTGAGTCTATCATCAGCAGATGCCCGGCAGAAGGCCTTTAGCACATGCACTGCTCACATCTGTGCCATTGTCATCACCTATGTTCCAGCCTTCTTCACCTTCTTTACTCACCGGTTTGGGGGACACACCATTCCTCCACATATACACATTATTATGGCTAATCTCTACCTGCTCATGCCTCCCACAATGAACCCTATTGTGTATGGGGTGAAAACCAAGCAGATACGAGAAATTGTTATTAGATTCTTGTTTAAGGAAAAGGACAATTCTCACAACATTTAAGTAGAGTCTTCTTAGAAGTTAGAATTCTCTTATCCAGGTTGAGATAACCAAGTCTGTAGGGAACTCTACAAATGAAAGCAGTTATCTGGCCACAGGAAATACTTTCATGGAACTTTAATTCTCCTACCTCTTTTTATTTATTTTTATTTTTTTAATGTTTATTTACTTTTGAGAGAGAGAGAGAAAGAGAGAGAGAGAGACAGAGTGTGAGCAGGGGAGGGGCAGAGAGAGAGGGAGACACAGAATCCTAAACAGGTTCCAGACTCTGAGCTGTCAGCACAGAGCCCAATGCAGGGCTTGAACTCACAGACGGCAAGATCATGACTGGAGCTGAAGTCGGATCCTTAACTGACTGAGCCACCCAAGCTCCCTCTTCCACCTCTTTTTAAAGAGGTGGACACTATGTTCATGTAGACAAAGACTCTCTCTTCTGAAATTCCATGTTCTTCATAGACTTACTCTTAGGGGAGAGTGGTTGGGTCACTAGGACGGGAGTTGAACTTTTTTAAGATTTTAAATCCCTGCTAAAACATGAGCTGTGCTCATCAAAGTCTTTATCTCAGCATTCTCCTGCCAAAACCATTTGGAGTTCATTCCTCTTTCCCAAGTTCTTTTCTCCTGCTTTCATTCCTGAGTTTATCAACTGTATACTCAGCAGTGCATACATATGTTCACCAGAGAACTTTTAAAAGATGTAAGTTGCAGCATATTCATAACACACAGAATGTATGTCCATCAATATCCAAACTGAATAAATAAGTAATCGTGATCTATTCAAGTATAATGTGGAGTGAGAGAGACCAAATAATATGTATTCTATGATTTCATTTAGATAAAGGTCACAAGCATGTAAAATTAATTTGTAGTCGTAGAAATCAGGATGATGTTTAACTTTGAGAATAAAGGCTCAGATAATGATGGAACAGAGTATGAGGGGTGCTTCTGAGGTGCTGCCACTGATTTAGTTCTTGATCTGAATGGCAATTACAGGGTGTATCCGCTTGGTGATACTTATGATGTGTGCTCTTTTTTGCATGAATATTATGGTTCAATAAAATATTTATTTAAAATAATATGTCTTGGGCACACTCTCTGATCTCTCTATACTGAAACATTTTCTTCCTGTACTCTCTGTCCATGACTAACAAAGTATATATATTTTGTTTTTATAGGATGCTAAATTTAGTGTAAATAATATGTATATTTGTACAAATTATGATCAAACAACACACACAAGAGAATCATAAAAAAGTAAAAAAAACTCCATCTTGAAAATCTCTTCCATTTAGTTTCTTTCCAGAGATAGCATCGTATGTGTATTTTTTTTCTTTTTGGTGATTTCTTCTTTTACTCCAAGCTATGTTTAAACTTTAATTTGACAACTACCGTGTTGCAGACAATGAGGATTGTAACTCAATTACAATGTTTATCACCTTTGTGTGATAATATCTGTGTGTGTGATTTATGTATGTGTGTGCATTTGGTGTATACATGTATATACATGTACATGTATTTATATATTTATTAAATGTGTTTTTATAATTTCCTTCTTTCTATATTTCTAACCTCAATGTTTATAAGATATATTTATTTTATTTTTAATTAAAAAATTTTTAATGTTTATTTATTTAGAGAGAGAGGGAGAGGGGTGCCTGGGTGGCTTAGTCGGTTGGGCATCTGACTTGGACTCAGGTCATGATCTCACAGTCCATGACTTCAAGCCCCACATCAGGCTCTGTGCTGACATTTCAGAGCCTGGAGCCTGCTTCAGAATCTGTGTCTCCCTCTCTCTGACCCTCACCTGCTCACACTCTCTCTCTCCTTCAAAAATAAATAAACATTAGAGAGAGAGAGAGCACGAGTGGGGGAAGGACAGAGAGAGAGGAAACAGAGAATATAAAGACTGTGCTGGCAGCACAAAGCCTGACATGGAGCTCAAACCTATAAAACATGAGATCATGACCTAGGCTCAAGTCAGACACTCAACCGACAGCCACCCAGGTGCCCCAAATCAGATATATTTTTGACTTCCTAGTCTTAAGATCATTACTACTGCTATGATTCCAGAAATCTTCTTAGATTTGTTTATAATTTGATTGTAACAGTTGAAAGCTAATAAACAGTACTTGAATTCCTATGATTATATGAATATTGATATAAATATTGAGTATGAATATGTATTACTTTACAACGAAGTCAGGATTACATTTCTTTCTATATTTTGTCTAACGTCACCATCCTTATTATTTTTGTAGGAGAATATTTCCAGCATCAATATTTTTCAGAGATATCTGATAATATATTTCACCCATTAAAAAATGAAAGGATTTCTATGGAAAAGGGGCAAGCAGACAATTAGAAAATAACTTTTATAACAGAAAAGAATGAATGATGGCAAAAATATTTAAGGAAAGGAAAACAAAGTTGCAGAAATCTCACAGAAAGAAAAAAGGCAAGGATATAAAATATGAAAGAAAAATAAAGACATATAGAATTTCTGTCCAAGAGGGCAGAAGTCTAACTTTTAGGATTTACATTAGGAGAGAAAACTGTTCAGGCAAATGGAGAATTTATCCAAACAACTATGAAATAATATTTCCTATAACAAAATTAAAAATGTGTATTGTAAGAAATATCAAGAAATACCAAAATACCTAGAATATCCTTTATAAAAGATTCAAACCTGGACATACTACTGTGAAATTAAAGACTATAGGGGCGCCTGGGTGGCGCAGTCGGTTAAGCGTCCGACTTCAGCCAGGTCACGATCTCGCGGTCCCTGAGTTCGAGCCCCGCGTCGGGCTCTGGGCTGATGGCTCAGAGCCTGGAGCCTGTTTCCGATTCTGTGTCTCCCTCTCTCTCTGCCCTTCCCCCGTTCATGCTCTGTCTCTCTCTGTCCCAAAAATAAAAAAGAAAAAGAAAAAAAAAAGACTATAAATATAATGAAAAGATGCTTAAAAATTTCAGGTGGAAAACAAACATTAAAATAATTTTAAAAACCAATGCATGTTTACATAATTGGAAAGGATACCTACCAACAAATATTGATGTTGCAAGGTCATAGAGCAGTTTTCTTACTTATAAAAATAAATAATTATTAGACTAAACTTCTGCTTTCAATTTAATAATCACTGTAATAGTGAATGGTAAGTTATTTTAGATATGAAAAAATGAAGAAAGAAGATCTGCATAACAACTTTTCTTAGAAAGTTATTTGAGGATGGGGCACATGGGTGGCTCAGTTGGTTTAGCATCTGACTCTTGATTTCGGCTCGGATCATGATCTTGCAGTTAGTGGGATGGAGCCCCATGTTGGGCTCTGCACTGGCAGTGCAGAGGCTGCTTGGGTTTCTCTCTCTCTCTCCCTCTGCCCCTCCCCTACTTGCTCTCTTTCAAAATAAATAAATAAACGTTTTTTAAAAATAAAGTTATTTGAGGATGTACTCCAACAATATGAGAGAATAACCCAAAATATGCTAATACACCATGGAATTTAGGGGTTAGTGGTTTCAGTCTAAGAAAGGAAAATAAGAATTCCCGCAACTCTGAATGAAGAAGATTGAAGATGAGAATAATTTCTTGTAAATCAAGTTTCAACGATTATTCTTGTGTTTGGTCACTTTCTTATTACATCACTAGAAACTTACAATTGTTGCCACGACCTGCCTCAAGGATGGTTTAAGTAGGTCAATTCTAAAGATCCTTATAGCTCCTTTTGTGATTTCTTACACATTATTTCTCATTCTCTCTCTCTCTCTCTCTCTCTCTCTCTCCCCATAACAAGATTAACCATCAGTTTTTTTAGACACAGTAAGAGCTAATTTATTCTAGAGCTTTACATGCATTATCTCTGATTTTGAATCAATTCTGCAGATAGTTATTATTCACTGCATTTTATTTTTAAGGAGACTAAAACTTGGATGGATTCATTAATTTGCCGTAGTCTACAAAGATTTTAGGTAGAAATCTGGGATTTAAACCTAGAAAATTCATGTTGTTGTTGTTTTTTAATTTTATTGTGTTGAGATAAAAATATTTAACATGAAATTGATCCCCTTAACACATTTTTAAGTGTACAATATATTTTGTTGACTATATATACTACATTAAGCAGATCTCTAGAACATATTCATCTTGCTTAACTGAAACTTGTGAAGGTTATTTAGTTATTTCCCACTATCTGCTACCTCTGGAAACCACCATTCCACTCTTTAATTCTGTGAATTTGACTATTTTAGTTACTTCATAGAAATAGAATCATGCAGTATTTGTTGTTCTGTGACTGACTTTATTCATTCAGCATAATATATTCATCGTCATCCGTGTTGTTGAATATTGCAAAATGTTCTTTTTTAAGGCTGAATTGTATTCCATTGCACAAGTATATACCATATTTTCTTCATCAATTCATCTGTCAATGAACATTTATATTGTTTCCGCATTTTGGTTATTACGAATAATGTAGTGAACACGAAAGTGCCAATATCTCTGAGACCCTTATTTCAGTTCTTTTGGATAAACATCAGAAGCAGGATTTCTTAATCACATGGTAGTCCTATTTAAAAATTTTTGAGGAACCTCCATATTTTTTCCATAGTGGCTGAAATATTTTGCATTTCTAGCAACAATGCACAAATGTTCCAATATCTCTACATTCTTGCCAATATTTTTTGTCTTCTGTTTATTCAATAATAGCCATCATGATAGATATCAGGTGACATCTCATTGTAGTTTTGATTTTCACTTCCCTGATTATTAGTGATGCTGATCATCTTTTCATATACCTGTCGGCCATTTGTATGACTGCTTTGAAGAAATGTCTGTTAAAGACCTTAGCCCATTTTCTAATTGGGTAATTCATTTTTTTTTTTGCTCAAATTTAGTTGTAGGAGTTCCTTTTATATTTTGGATATTAATCTATGGTTTTCAAGTATCTTCTCCCATTGGGCAGTTTGCCTTTTCATTCTGCTGATTGCATCATTTCGTTCATTAACACTGTT